CCATGTAAACCTCTCTTATTTTGTATGTAAAGATGTGGCCTGCATTTTTAACAGGCTCACAAGGTGATTTAATGTACTCAAGGTTTAAGATCCTCTGAAGTCCTCGTCATTATCACCACCACCACCACCACCACAGCTGTCAATCTGGCCATGAGGAGGAATCAGAGGGTCCTTCTAGGACCGGCCTGCTTTAGGTTCCATATGACATTTTGGCAGTAACCCTACAAGAAGACCTGGGAGGCACCCTCCCACCCCCACCCCCACTACCTCAGAGTTGAATGTACTGACTTCAACCTCCGGAGGGTCACCTGACTTCAGTTTGTCCCTTTTCAACCCTAACTTTCCTGAAGCACCAACAAAAATTGCCCACTCTGTTAAAAATCCTTCTTTGCATTCTTTCAAAGTGGATGATTTCTTATTTAAAACAGGAATGATCTTATATTCTAAATGTGCTTTTGTGTTAAAATAAGGGGAAAAACTGGCAAATAGATATGTGCCTAGGCTTGGATAAGGGTGCAGAAATTCTGCATATAATTCTGCCTGTGAGTATAGAGCAGTAAAAGAAGTGTAGTCCTAAGTCATATTTTTTCCATGAGTCAAAGCAGTATATATATATATATAGACTCACACTAGATTTCTAACACTCCCTGCAAATTTGGTTTGCTCACATTTAAAGAATATTGAAGATTATTCCACTGGTATTAAATCATAATGATGATGTTGATAATAGTATCTTACCCAAGGGCACACCGAGTACAGGTGACTCAGGCAGGACTTGAACCCATACTTACCTGGTGTCTAAGCCTCAGTTCTTGTCACCATACTACACTGCTCTTTGGCAAGAAAGTCATGGATATGTTATATCAAATTACTTCTTACACTAAGCTGTTGCATGTAGTTTCCTGGGCCTATACTTAGGTCTCGGCAAGTGAATGAGAAAATTGGAATATTGGCATATAGAGCAGTATTTATGACGCCGGGCTTACAATGAAGAGAATTGGTTACAAAGGTGGGAGAGGAATCCAGAGCCACACAGGGGATGGTAAAGCAACCCAGGGATCTGCAACCACGGGAAGCCACTATCGCCCTTGACTGAGAGACAGCAGGTGGCAGCCAAGTCACCCGAGGGAGCAGGAACCCCAATAAGCCAGTCCATAAAGGAGATCCAGCCACTCTGAAGTGGCCACTTGGAGCAGAGAAATAAGTTAAGAAACACCTGGTTTCTCCTTTGCTGTTACATCCATGTCTCCTGACACTCGAATCTCCTCCTACCCGCCAAACCCAAGAACCTGAAAAAACAACCTTTATGGATTGTTTGTTCCCCTCTCTACCGAACTGAGTGAGAAAAGGACAAGGATTGAGTTGGAGGACAGACAGATCGAAACAGGCACATCCATGCTGGATTTTGTTATTTTCCAGAAAAAAAATATTTTAAGGCTCCTTTAAATAGCAAGCCCCCTGTACTTAGACTAACTTGATTGAACAACAAAAAATCTTTTGTCACATGTGACTTTAAAAACACCTATTATGCACTCTGGCCGTTTGGTTCAGTGGTTAGGCTCTACCGAAGGGTCTCTGGTTCAATTCGGTCCTGGGCACATACTGGGGCTGCAGGTTCTATCCCCTGCCGCCTGCCCCATCGGGACGCATGCAGGAGGTAACCAATTGATGTCTCTCTCTCTCCCTGTCGCTCTCTCCCCACCTACCTTCCACTCTCTCTGGGTCTCTGGACGAAGTTCTGGTGAAGTTCCTGGACCCTGAGTTGCAGTCAGTTGTGCTCTGGGGACTGACAGCTGACACTTTCTGATTACCTGGCGGGCTCAGACGGGGAGGGTTAGAGCGCCCTCTACGGGAGAGCTGGTCCCGGCTGGCGTGGTGGCTGGGCACCTTCCAAGCCTTTCTGCAGTATTGTCATGAGCAACGTCCTCCCCCCGTCCGCTCCCCGCCCCCAAATACTCCCTGAAATATATGGCTGTGGTCTTATTAACTATTGCGTCAAAGGAGACCCAGTACAGATTATATTTTGTGTGTGCTGTCACACATTTAGAGAAATGGCCAGATTAACGACTCACAAAAAACAGGAGACAGCTGCCAAAACAACGCAGTTTCAGTGGGCTCAGAGCTCGCAGCAGGAGATGGCCGGGCAGCTCCTCGGGGATCTGAGGAGAAAGCAGACAGGGTGTCTTCGGGCAGGGTGGCTGCCTTGATTTACAGGATTAAATTAATTTTTTTTTATCCTTCAGTTTTTGAAGGAGGTGGCTATGTGGGAGTACTCTCTGGTTAAGATCACAAACTTTGAAGTCTGTTTTTCTTTTTCTTTTCACAAGTCTGTCCCCTTTTCTCTAACCCTACTACCAAGTCTCCTCATCTGTGCTTACTGCCACAGCCACTAACTGCTCCCCTCCCCGGCCTCCCTCTCTCTCCTCAGTGGGAAATTTCTAAGCAAATAAGATCAGCCATACCTACTCAGGATCTTTCAATGGCTCCCCCAGCCTCTGGGATAATGTTCAAAATCCAGGGGCAAAATTGTGGCTGTCATCTCACCTGCAGTCCCATTCTGGCAAGTCCTAGGCAGTCACTTGCAAGGTCAACCCATACTTCTAGGAAAGCTCCATTCTCCCCAGGCCAGGTAAGCCGCCATCCTAGCAGCTCATAATGGTTGCCTGCCCCTCTGCCTCCCAGCAAAGCCGAGCCTTATTCCTTTGAGTATGGCCCAACATCCAACACCTGGGATTAAAACTGTGTTAATGGTATTTGAAAAGCGCTTTACACTTTACACAGTGTTATCTCATACTTGCTCCTTTAATCCCACAGACACATGTAGGACTGAGGAGTCTATGGACTTGGGTGTGAATCCCTATGCAGCCAAGGACTGGCTAAAGGCACGGACTGCACTTCACCTCAGCCTCCAGTAATTCCAATTCGGGCTTGTTATGAGGCTGCAATAAAACAATATCTGGCTCGCAGCCGGAACTATAAACTTGACTCCCCTTTCTGACCCCAAGCTTGGCGAGCGGCTTCTCTTATTTCTACAGCAACCCCTCCTTCTCCGAGCTCCGGAGGCCACCGAGGGTGCCAGCTATGAAGCACTGTGCCTATGTTGCATCGGGTACGAGCAATCCTTAGTGGAGCGTGCAGGCACCACGTGGAGAGGACACTGATGCAGGGAGCTAAATAAGGGGTCCTGGGAGGCAGGGGTTGGATGGAGGGGACTCTGGCAGACGTTGGTCAACCGAGGGAACAAGGCTCCCGAGGGCACACTCCACAGGGGGGCCCACCCACGCCTCCCGGACTTCCAGTCTCCCCCAAGTGGCCGGTGCCGGCACCCCCCGCTTCACCTCTCCTATTGCCCTCCCTTCCCAGCACCAGGTACTCTTTCAGGGAACTCAAAAAAGCAAGTAGGGTCCCAGGGCGGACAGGACTGGGGGAAACGCAGCCCCCGCGCGAGCCATGGGGAGAGAGGCCCCGCCCTCTTGCCCCCACCCCGGCGCCTGCTGGCTGCGG